CACATAATTGATTCAAAGATCATTTAATCTCAATCTGATAGTATGCAGTCATCTTTAACTATCATTATGATTAAAGTGACAGCCTTGTGCCATTTGGACAGATATCAAGACTGACTCTGGACACACATAATTGATTCAAAGATCATTTAATCTCAATCTGATAGTATGCAGTCATCTTTAACTATCATTATGATTAAAGTGACAGCCTTGTGCCATTTGAACAGATATCAAAACTGACTCTGGACACACATAATTGATTCAAAGATCATTTAATCTCAATCTGATAGTATGCAGTCATCTTTAACTGTCATTACGATTAAAGTGACAGCCTTGTGCCATTTGGACAGATATCAAGACTGACTCTGGACACACATAATTGATTCAAAGATCATTTAATCTCAATCTGATAGTATGCAGTCATCTTTAACTGTCATTACGATTAAAGTGACAGGCTTGTGCCATTTGGACAGATATCAAGGCTGACTCTGGACACACATAATTGATTCAAAGATCATTTAATCTCAATCTGATAGTATGCAGTCATCTTTAACTGTCATTATGATTAAAGTGAAAGCCTTGTGCCCTTTGGACAGATATCAGGACTGACTCTGGACACACATAATTGATTCAAAGATCATTTAATCTCAATCTGATAGTATGCAGTCATCTTTAACTGTCATTACGATTAAAGTGACAGCCTTGTGCCATTTGGACAGATATCAAGGCTGACTCTGGACACACATAATTGATTCAAAGATCATTTAATCTCAATCTGATAGTATGCAGTCATCTTTAATTGTCATTACGATTAAAGTGACAGGCTTGTGCCCTTTGGACAGATATCAAGGCTGACTCTGGACACACATAATTGATTCAAAGATCATTTAATCTCAATCTGATAGTATGCAGTCATCTTTAACTGTCATTATGATTAAAGTGACAGCCTTGTGCAATTTGGACAGATATCAAGACTGACTCTGGACACACATAAATTGATTCAAAGATCATTTAATCTCAGTCTGATAGTATGCAGTCATCTTTAACTGTCATTACGATTAAAGTGACAGCCTTGTGCCATTTGGACAGATATCAGGACTGACTCTGGACACACATAACTGACAATATGCAGTCATCTTTAATCATCGTTATGCATTTGCCACAGTATTAGAATAACCAAGTGCGCCAGGCACAGTGGCTCACTCCTATAATCCCAGCACCTTGGGAGGTGGAGGCGAGAGGATCGCCTGTACCCACGGGTTCGAGACCAGTCTGAGCAACAGGGTGAGATCCCGAGTCTACAATAAATCAAAAAATTATCCAGGCAGGGTGGAGCGTTTCTGTAGTTTTAGCTACTTGGAAGACTGAAGCAAAAGGATCACCTGAATCCAGAAGGTCAAGGCTGTGGTGGCTGTGAGCATGCCACTGCACTCCAGCCTGGGTGACAGAATGAGATTCCAACTCACAAAAAAAAAAAAAAAAAAGGAAAAAAAAGAATAATCAAGTGCAACAGTTTAAAAATGCTAATTTACAACATTTTTGTATCTATTAAAAGAGGGAAATCATGTGGGGCAAGATTTAAAGAAATGCAAATGCTTTCGTTTGGTATCTTTCCACTACTTGTATGTTTGATAACCTCATTTACTTGGCTCTGTCTCTCCCTGCTCGATCATCTGTGCTGGCACCAAGCAGAGCTTCATCTTTCCCTCTCAGTAATGATGTTAGAGACCCCCAGGCCTGCGTCCATGATCTGGGTCAGAGAATCAAAGCACAGCGTGCAGTTTTTCCTCTGTTGCTAGCACGAATTTTGCCGGTAACTGTTCTTTGCTGAACCAAAGCCCCCAGGGACCATATTCTGAGTCCCAGTCACCTCTGTGCCCCTTGTTCTTTCTTTGTGCAAAAGAAGGGACTTCTGTGCCTGCATGCCTATTGCTCCATGCGGCATCCTCCCAGGAGCAAGACAATGGCATCAAGAGATTCTCTTTCCTTTTTTCTCTTTTTGAGTTGGAGTCTCACTCTGTCACCAGGCTAGACTGTTGTGCAGCGGCACAATCACAGCTCATTGCAGCCTCAACCTCCTCCTGGGCTCAGGCTATCGTTCCACCTCAGCATCCCGAGTAGCTGGGACGACAGGTGTGCACCACTACACCTGGCTAATTTTTCTGTAGAGTCAGAGTTTCGCTATTTTACCCAGGTTGGTCTCAAACTCCTGGGTTCAAGCGACCCTCTCACCTCAGTCCCCCAAACTGTTGGGATTACAGGCATGAGCCACCGTGCCTGGCCTTCAAAAGATTTTCTTCACTGAGCACCCAAAGAGTGATTGATGGTCTAACTCCCGCCTACTTCCTACTATCTGCTCCTTTCAACCTGTTGCTTTAAGGAGACTTGACTATTTTCTTGACAAACATTAGGTTTGATCAGAAGAAAGCAGCATCTCACTGCAGTCTGGTATCTAAGGGGGTGGCAGGACAAAGGTCCAGGAAGTGAGAGGGGTGCGTGAGAAATCAGGGCCAGGGTTGGGGCTGCTGTGAGGGTGAAGCTGCTGTGAGGGTGAAGCCTGCTGTGAGGTTTGGCCTGCAGTGTAGCCTGGAGAAGTGTCAGAAGGATCCTGGCCTTCATCCTCCCTCCCCTAGGACATCCTATCGTGGTCCCAGGCAAGGTGGCCCTTTGGAATCTATTCAGGGGACACAGCCTTCCCCTCTGTAGAGCACCCCCTACAGTCAGCAATTTGGGTTGACATGACTTTCTCACCCCCCACCCAGCCCACATACCAGCTCAAAGGAAGTGCCTGATGTGATTGGGGGGTGGTCTGACAGGAAAAGGGGGAAGCCCAGTGTCAGCAATCAGCATGCTACATGCCAGAACACATCACATCACAGAGCAGAGGAGTCTCCCAGGTCTCAACTGTCTCATCTTTCCCTGGGCAGAGAATGGGACATTGCTATGGACACCAAAGTCGCTGGAACCATTCACTCTGGAGATTCTAGCAAGAAGCGCCAAGGACGGCTTGTCGTCTATACTCCAACCCAAGACTGTGGTCTGCAATTGCAGGGCAAAGAGCCAGTGTCTGTATAACCAAACCAGCTGGGCAGGCAATTCCTCCCTCGAGGTGAGAGTTGACAGGAGGGCGTGAGGAATTTCTGGGTGGAGGGGACAGGAAGTGGAAATTGAAGGGACATAGAGTTTTGGCCTCTCCTGGATAATGACTATGTGGGGAGGAGGGTGGAGCTATGGTGGGTGAACAGGCAGATACCAATCTCAGGCCATGAACTCACATGTGAAGAAATAGGACTTTTTTTTTGAGTCGTGGTCTCACTCTGTTGCCCAGGCTGGAGTGCAGTGGCACGGTCACGGCTTACCACAGCCTAGACCTCCTGGGCTCAGGTGATCCTCCTGCTTCAGCCTCCCAAGTACCTGGCACTACAGACGTGGCACCATGCCAGACTGATTTTCTTTTCTTTTTTCTTTCTTTCTTTTTTTTTTTTAGTAGGGATAAGGTCTTACTATGTTGCCGGCTGTTCTCAAATTCCTGGGCTTAAGTGATCCTCCTACCTGGCCTCCCAAAGTGCTGGGGTTACAAGCATGAGCCACCATGCCTCGCCAAATTTTTTGATAACTTGTAGTTCAACTGAGTTTCTAATCTCCTACCTCCCATTCTGCCAGGCTTACATTTCCCCAGTGTTTCCTAGTACTGCGACACTGGGGGAAAACCCAGCACAGGGCCCTGAGGCTCCCATCCCAGGTGTATCCTGGCTCCCAACAGGTCCTGGGAGTTCCTCTGCTGCTTCTGTGCCTTGCCCAGACACAGGAAACCTTTCTTGAGGTGCTTATAGGTCCCGTCTGCTGAGCAGCATCCACAGCCGTTTCCCCCTGGCGTCTCATCATCATGGTGCGGGGAAGAGAGTTGCAGGTCCCCTCTATCCTGACACCCCAAGCCCCTTTGATTTCTTTCTTTCACTCTCTCCCTCCAGCTCAAAGGAATATCTCCTTTCAGTTTAGAGAAAATCCTTCTCAATTCAAGTTTCTAGCAAGTATCTTGGCCTAAATTGGTAATTTTTTGTCCCATCTGTTTTTGTTTTGTTTGGTTTTGGTTGTGGTTGTAAAGAAGGAATCAGAGGGGACAGTGTTTATCTGGCAACACCAAACCCTCTCCTTTATCCTTAATACACACACACACACACACACACACACACACACACACACACACACGACACACCCTATGGGTACGCACACTTAAGCTTCTCCTCAAGCATAAGCAGATAATTAGTACCTGAAAGAGACAGAGGTGGGAAGACAAGGGATAGAAAAGGAAAAAATACATAGTGGAAAAACTAGAGATTAAAACTTATATAGTTGTCCCTCCATATAAGTAGGGACTGGTTCCAGGACTGCCCATGCATAACCAAGTCAGGGCTTGCTGAAGTCCCGAGGGGCCCCACCCAGCCAGCGTCTGCAAGGAGCCGGCCCTCCATAGACGTGGGTTTTGCATCCACCTGACACTGTGTTTGGAATTCGCATTTGGTTAAAAAAAATGCCATGTATAAGTGTGCCCGGTTCAAGGGTCAACCATATCCTAATCTAGATATCCCCAAATATCTTGGGAGTAGAAAGTGTTGGAAGGTTCTGTTTCAGGGGACTTTCCAGAGTCATTTCAGTAGGGGAGTCAGGAAAGTGAGACCAGGGGACTTGATGAGACTTCTGGAACCATTGACCGTGCTGTGCCATTATTCCACTGGCTGTGTTTGCTTATGGTGCTTAGTAGGGAGGCTCTGTCTTCCTGGTTTGGGAGTCAGCAAGGAAGTTAGGGAAAGAAACCTCAGCTTACATGGAACCCAGTTTTCAAGGGACAGTAGAACATACATATGTACATAAAAATACTCATTCATTCATTCTGTCTTATTCTGGAAAGGATTTCATGCCAGGAGATACAGTGTGAGAGGAAAAGGCTGAGATCCTGGTGTAGGAGCGTACAGAGGGTCAAAGTAAAGAATAGCCAAATGAGCAGGATACCTGTGTGGCTTCAGGCAGGGACTTGCAGGCCCAGGCCTGCCTGATCAGGAAGGTGCTCAGTAGATGCCGGTGGGACAAAAACAAGGACTCAGGGTCCATGGTTCTCAGACCAAAGAGGTCAGTCAGAAACATCCAGAAGCCCTCACTCATTCGACCTCCCGGCCGCCCAGTGATCAGCAACCCATTCCAGGTGGCTGACTGCAAGTGTGACAAGGACACCTCCGGCCGCTACTGCCAGCGCTTCAGGGACCCCTGCGAAGAGCAATGCTTCCCGAATGTCAGCTGTATTCCTGGGAAGGGCTGCGAGGCCTGCCCCCCGAACCTGACTGGGGACGGGCGGCACTGTGCAGGTGAGCCGGGAACAAGGCCTGGCAGGAAGGGGGTCTGGGGACAGGTGACACCTCATGGGTTTAGGATAGCCAAAGGCAAACCATTTCTCTCTCTTTCCCAGCAAGTCTTTAGAATGGTTGATATAGATAGGTATGTCAAGAAGGGCTTGGCAAGGGGGTGGTGGATGGTGTGGAACTGACAGAGAAGAGGTTGTCCAGGCATAGGGGAAGGGACAGAGTAGAGTAGCCTCGGTCATTGATGGGGAAACCCCAAGGCAAAAGATTGAAGATGGGCTGGAGTAGCGGGGAGACTTCCAGCAGCAGCCAGGGACGCAGAGGCAAGCTAGGGCCATCAAGCTGTATGGGGGTCTTCAGAGACACGAGACCCAGGGACTCTGAATCTCACCAGTCAGGGCACTGGGAGTAACTGCTATGGGTTGCAAAGGTGCCTCATTTTCCCTTTGAGTCCTCTCCCAGACATCTGTTCCTCCCCATCTGAGCCACTGGAGCCATGATGAGGGAGATCACAGTGAGGCTTCCACCTAGCTCCTCCTAAAGAGTCCAAATAAAATCTAGAGTCAGGCATGTTTGGGAGGCCAAAACAAGAGAATCACTTGAGTCCAGGAGTTCGAGACCTGCCTAGGCAACATAGAGAGACCTCGTCTCTACAAAAAATATAAAAATTAATCATGTGTGGTGAAGTGTGCCTGCAGCCCAGATACTCAAGAGGCTGAGGTAGAAGGATCACCTGAACCCAGGAGATCAAGGCTGCAGTGAGCTGGGATCATGCCACTGCACTTCAGCCCTGGCGACAGAGTAAGACCCTGACAAGAAAGCAAGAGGAAGGAAGGAAGGAAGGAAGGAAGGAAGGAAGGAAGGAAGGAAGGAAGAGAGGGAGGGAGGGAAAGGGAAAGAAAAGTCTAGAGATTTTTGTGTCTTCAGAGCAGAGGCCAGAGTGGGTAAGAACCACAGCAGGAAAGGAGATGGAGTGAGAGTGAAAGGGAGGGAGGGAGGAAAGCCGGCTGGGACCTCCTCCTGCCCGCCTTCTGGGTCCTTCCTGACACAGAGTCTGATCAACACTCCACTCCCCCTGCAGGAGTGGAAGAATGCCTACCTGGCAGAGGTAAAAGGCTTGCCCTGCAGTTAAATGCCTGAAAAGGGGGAAAAGGATAGTTTGGGGGTTCTGTGTGGCCCTAGTGTCATTTGCTGACCTCCCTGCTCCCTCTGCCAGCCCTGGAGAACATTTTCCTCTGCCAGAACCAATCATGTCCTGCAAATTACTGCTACAACCACGGCCACTGCTACATCTCTCAGACTCTGGGCTGCCAGCCCACGTGCACCTGCCCCCCAGCCTTCACCGACACACGCTGCTTCCTGGCTGGGAACAATTTCACTCCGACCGTTCGTCAAGGTACCACCAGATGCCCCTGCTCACCCCCACCTCCACGCTTCTCTTGCCTTTGGGGAAGATGGGAAGACTCTGGGTTCCAGGGCTAAGCTCCTCAAACTCCCAGGACAGAACTCCAGATTTCTCTTGGCTAGTGGTAAGATGTAGACCGTGGGAGCCGGTGAGGGCTACTGTCACAGCAGGGACCCCAGCCTGTGCCGTCTGCTGAGGAAAGACTGAAGCAGCGGCCTTGGGACTCAGTGAGTTGAGGGTCAGGGAAGCCCTGGCCATAATGGAAGGAGCACTAGGGAGAGGGTCACGGGTTCTGATTTCTGGCCACTTCTCCTGATTTCTTGGTGACCTTCTGTCGCTGTGGAATGGAGTAATCTTCCTGGACTGGCCCAACGGACTTCTTGGGTAAGTCTGAGTTAATCCGTGAGGTGATGATGAATTTGCTTCTCCCATCTCCAGAACCTCCTTTAAGAGTCATCCGGCTCTTGCTCAGTGAAGACGAAAATGCCTCCGCAGCAGACGTCAACGCCTCGGTCAGTGCTGCAGACTAGACTCTGGGTGGGAGGCGGGTCACGTCAGGTTCAGGCACTTGTCTGTCCTTCATCTTTCTGTCCATCTAAATTCAATTGTCATAGAGGCCGGAATCTTTTGCCCCATGGGAGGTCCAGGGGGTTAGAAAGTCAGGGGCCTCAGGACAGAAACCTCAGAAGGGGTTGGAATCACCATCTCACCATGAGTAGGGTCTGGGGTGCCAAGTCACCTAGCCTCTTCCTCTGAGCATCCCTCGAGACCTGCACTTCTTGATTATTACATGGAAGAAACTAGAGGGTATTTTACCCCCAGGAAGCCCTCCCTGGCTTCCCAGAGGGAATTGGGGGCACCCTCCTCTGAGCTCCCATGTCCTTGTCCTTACCTCAATCACAGGCAAGGTAGCACAGTTGTTGTGGGGTCAAGGCTCTCGAATCCTACCCACTAGAATTCAAATCCCTGCTCTGTTGCTTAGTAGAACAGAGACACAATAATTAGACACATTACAGAGTGAGCCATCTGTAAAAATAGGGCCAGTAATAGTACCTATGTCAACATGTCTCAAAGCTTAAGTGAGAATGTATGTAAAGCACTTAGCACAGTGCCTGAAACACAAGTGCTCACAAATTATTATTGCTATTATTACTGCTACTAGCATAGCACCCCACACGCTACACAGTAAAATCTGTTGACATTTGTCTACTGCACCAGACTACAGGCTCTCTGAGTACAGACTTTGACACCCTCAGCCTCTGACCATTCCCTAGGTGTAGCTGAACAACTGATGTTCAACATGCATGTTGGGAGGGAATGAGTTGATGAGTCAGGGATCAGAGGCAATGTAGGGACCCTTCCTGTCAGATTCTTCCCTGTAATACAAGACAGAGGCGGGGGCGACGAAGGTAAAGTCCTTCACTCACCAACAAATGTTCTTAAGCAAAGACTCACACTATCACTGGACGAGGCTGGGGCAAGAGGATGCAGAGATGGGTGAGAAAAATTCTGGGGCCCCTGGGGCTCACATTCAAAGGCGAACGCAGACAGGGAAGAATAAATGCATCAAGGTGGGAGGGGTCTCCTTTCTGGCCTGGCCCTTACCCCACCCCCCATTCCCTCTATCCTCTGTCCTAGGTGGCATACAGACTGGGGACGCTGGACGTGCGGGCCTTTTACCGGAACAGACTAGTGGAACGAGTGGAACAAATGTAAGTGGGACTGTCACTACCTGAGCCCCCAGGTCCTATCCTCCACTCCCCACTCCTTACCCCCTCACTGTCCCCACACAGTCCCTCAGGAAGCTCCATTCAACACTGGAACGTCATCTCAGAGTTCCAATACCGCCCTCGGGGCCCTGTCATCGACTTCCTAAACAACCAGCTGCTGGACGCCGTGGTGGAGGCGTTCTTACGCCGCATTTGGAGGAAGAATAAGGTGCCCAGGAGTGAGGCGCCCAGGAGTGAGGTGCCCAGAAATGACGTGGTCTTCTACCCCATCTCCAGGGAAGACTTACACGATGTGACGGCTTGTGAGTCACTCTGTCTTGGGGACAGTACAGGGATGGGGGGGAACAGGAAAATAGAAGAAGTTTGTCACAGATCTTCCACCCACACAAACCCATGGTGGAAATGTGTTCTATGGAGGTTCACAGACAAGTAAAAAGCAAGTTAATTTTGGGTTTTTTTTTTCAGTTTTTGAAGGAAATGTAAACTTTTTTTTTTTTTTTTTAGTTGGAGTCTCATTCTGTCGCCCAGGCTGGAATGCAGTGGCCGCTTCCAGCCACCGCAGCCTCGACCTGCTGGGCTCCGGCCATCCTTCCGCCTCAGCCTTCCGAGTAGCCGGAATTACAGGCAATGCGTTACCACACCTGGCTGATTTTTTTATTTATTGTAGGGATGAGGTCTCACCAAGTTGCCCAGGTGGGTCTCGAACCCACGGGCTCAAGCAAA